AAAGAACAGGAGGAGGAGGAGGAGAATGAGGAGGAGGAGATGGAGGAGGAGGAGGAGGAGGAGTAGGAGGAGGAGGACGGGGGAGAGGAGAAGGAGGTGGAGAAGGAGGAGGAGGGGGAGGAGGAGGAGGAGGAGGAAGAGGAGGAGAAGGAGGAGGAGAAGGAGATGGAGGAGGAGGAGGAGGAGATGCTTTTTGTTTGCTCGAGGCGACTGCTCAGGCAAGCTTCCGCAGAGATTGACAGGCAGGCAAAGGACATGTTCAAACATGCATGGAGCCACTGTCAACCATTAACGTCTAGCAATCACACAGGAAAAACAAAAGCACTGAAACAGACATCACTTCTGCTGAGTCGCCAGGCCCTGCACAATAGACAGGACAACAACATTCGAATTAGCACCAGCTGCCATCAGCCGAGAGGCCATCTCCAAAGCTGGGGCCCTCAGCGGCGGCTGCTCTTGCAATTCCGAGAGCACGGCATCGCCATCAGCGAAACGACAAAGCAATTCAACATCCATGTCATCCAACACTTTCGTATCTTGTGAAGCACCAGACTGCACGCCCGTGGCAAGGCCTTCATTAGCAGCCCCTAGAGACGAGGCAATCGAGCAAACAGGAGCGCCTGCAACATCTGGCTGCTCCTCACAGATGGGCTCGATCACATGCGACACCTCCTTCTTATGTTTCTTCTTGCACCGATGATTCTATTTCTTTGACTTCGGGGCAACGACCGTAGCGCCAGCTGCCGCTGAGGATAAAGAGGAAGACGAGGAACCCACATCACACGCGATATGTAAATCGCCACTTCGGGCTGACTTGTCAGAGACACCGCCACTGCGGGCTGACGTGCCAGGGCTAAAGGAAAATACATTGCTTCTAAGGGCTGGCATGTCACTGGCCTCAACACCGATATGCGACTCCAGGGCACCGCCACTCAGGGCTGAGATGCCAGAGCCTTCCTGCGAGACACCGCCACTAAGGGCTGACACGTCGGGGCTACACCTTCGCCACCAGCATCAGGAAAATCCCTGTCGCCAATGTAGAAGGTCAGCGCCTCCGAGGTGGCGTCCGTGGGATTCGCGATCTTGCCGGCGGAGTCAGAGGCGACGGCGGTGTAATTGGGACAGGCGGCTGTGGGGGCCACCGACCCATCGCCATAGCTACGACATACGCCATGTCCAGCTGCTGGCCAGCAGGCCACTTCTCCTTCAAGCGCTTGAAGATGCGCGCATCCCATCTTGAAGAGAACTACAATATGATGAAGGTCGCAGTGGAGGCCGACAACATGACAATGATGCACCACCCCTCGCTTGAGCCAAAATGGCTACGGTGGAGGAGGAGGAGGAGGAGGAGGGGGAGGAGGAGGAGGATAATGAGGAGGAGGGTGAGGAGGAGGAGGAGGAGGAGGAGGAGGAGGAGGAGGGGGAGGAGGAGGAGGAGGAGGAGGAGGAGGAGGAGGAGGAGGAGGAGGAGGAGGAGCAGCAGGAAGAGGAGGAGGAGAGGGAGGATGATTGCCGCTGCACTGCTCTGCCCCGATTCTTTGCGGTCCTCCTGGCAGCCAGCCAGGCAGCCGTCGAGCACGACACTTGATGACAGAAAGCTCCGCACAGAATATTCATGCATACGGAGCTGCCCGCATAGGCGGGCCACACGACGGGGCTGTGCCCCCGTGGCCGTGGCCAGGAGACTCGCCCGCCGAGCGTCCAACATTAATCGAACAACCGTACCACGCTGAGAGCATCCACGTCGAGCCAAATCTTCTCACTCTTCGGGTGCCTGCCAGCGAGAATGCGGTTCCAATAGTGTTTTGACGAGCGGCGACAATGCGGCTGCGTGTTGCACCGCTGATTCAAAAAGCGCACGTACCCACCCGTCGAAAAGGCTTTGCATTTCAGGCAAGTGCACACCGCATTGCCGTCTGAACAAGATAAAGCAATGCACTTGTGACCCAGCTCCACGAGCTTGGCGTCATAGGGTTTGTGAGTCGTCGAACAGACACCATTAGGGGGCCAGCAGCGCCTGGACACCCTCAAACACTGCTTGCACTGCCAAAAAGTGTCCCTAGAAACCCAGGAGTGGCAAGCCTTGGGCACTGGAAACACTGGCTCCTGCTGCACACGAGAGGCCTGAGACAAATCGCAGGCTGGCCACAGCTGGAGCAATCTGGCAGCGAGCACCCACACTTTACGAGAAATTGACAAAGCCCTGTCGAGCCACTCGGATTGCTCAGGGCTAGGCTTCTCGTGCGCCAGAGCCCCCTAACTTAGCATAGTGATCGGCGAGGTCACTCCCCGCCTTATAAAAAGTTAAACGCTCATCGCCAGCAACGTCATCGTCGGTCATGTGACCTTTGACCTTATGGATGGGGCCCATCTTAGAGTCCACAGTCCAGATGAACATTCCAGCGTAGACACGATTACAAGAGAGGTGCTCGGCTCGAGGCAGCGACCAAAGCTGAACGACAATCAGGCAATCGCTGAAGCCGACCGAGCCCTCGAGTGCATTCTGACACGCCGCAGTGCACGCTGCAAACTCGCCTGCCTGCGCTGTTTGCGGGATGGGGAGAGCGAGAGGAGCATAAACATGTCCCAACTCTTGCCCAGAATCGGAGGCCGACGCATATGACCATCCCTTGCGTGACAGCTCGCCGATGACAGACCGAATGCATGAACCGTCCATGAATACATTACCACTAACATGATAATCATCACGCTGAGGGTCACACGCATGATGAAATATAGGCTCAGATCTGGTGGGTGCAGGAAAGAAATCCCCAGGATGAGACATGATCCCGTACGTGTACAGTACTCGGTCGTGCGCACTTAGATCATCCCAAGGCTGGGGAGCATGCTGGAAATCATCGCAAAGTAGCTCTTGGCGAATCTCACGAGGCTGCTGGCCCTGGCAAATCCAAAGCCGATGGAGGACAACGCACGCCGGGGAGAGTATACCCGTGCTCCACTAGCACGGCACTTGGTCCAAGGGGCTTGACAAACCAGCCCACGGATACAGCCTTTTTTTCCCACGCAGTGAACTTACTGGACGACGTGGCCGCCAGGGGCACATCCAAGCAGGCTCTCCTGTTGAGACCAAGACGGTCACCGTAGGCTCGTTCGTGGGAGCGCAAAACGGCCCGACGGAGGAGTCTTTTGAGGAGGGCAGGAGAGACCAAGGTAAGGAAACCTCAACCCCCATGTCGTCGACCAACATAGTGAAAGACGGCATGTGCCACCCAATACGCTCCACCGACAGCCTCATGGCCCCCGCAGGGCCGCCCACCTTCCTCCACGCGGGGGGGGGGCCCACGAACACGGACTCCCAAGACCTACGCAATTCGGACAAATTGGGGCCGAAAACGAATGCGCCAGCAAGGCTGGCCCAAACTTCCTTGGACCAGCGCACAATAGGAGCCACCGCACAGTACCACGTGGGGTCGGCGGCAAACAGCAAAGCTGCAGTGAGGGACCGTCCTCCAGCCGTGGGGCTCAAGAAGCGCCCGGGCGACCTGCGGAGGGAAGCCAACTCGTGGTCCGAGGTGCCATGCATCTCGCACCCATAGGCCCGGCTAGGAAGAGGCCCGCTAGTGAACATACGCGTGACATGTCGCCCCTTGGACGAGCGGTGTGCACCAAGTCTGTGAACCTTCCTCTTGAAATCATGTTTCCGGACCTGGACCTTACCTCCTCTCCTAGCCATCCTCTTTGGTTTCCCAGCAGCATCATCAATGCCGAAGTTGGCGGCAGAAGAGCACGGAAGGCCACCGACAGCCCGATGGCAATCTGCAGCTTCACAGATCCCTCCAGGAGATCCTGCACGACCGCTCTGGGCCGACCAGTGCACGACAGGGTGAAATCGTCGATGTAGACTCGCCGCGAAACCGATCTGGGAAGGCTGAGGCCGTCTAAGGCCGCAAGCGTGAAGACGCGAATCAGCGTGGTCGCGAAACCACACCCAGCAATAAGTTCTCGCCAAGCAAAACGTGGGCCGTCGACACGGCCGTTCATCGCCATGTATCTGCAGGCGCGGTACGCCGTGTAGCAGACACGCGCGATCTGCATGGGAAAGCTATGCTGGCGGCATCGGGCCAGGAGAAGGCCGAGGTCGACTGATTCATAAAACATGAGAAGATCCCAGAGAACAGACGCCGAGCAGTCCTGGGACGCGACTGCGACCTCTCCCCTGACCCCTTGCTTCCAGGCAGCATCGGCACTAGAGGCAAAAGCACCAGCACAGAAAAACTCGCGGTCGTTGTCGGCTTCCCATTGGCGAGCGTACGAACGACGAGCCCTAGCCCAGATACGGTAGATCGAGACGAACAGGACGATCGGACGGCGCCCGCCGTTGGGTTTCGACAGCATGACCAGGAGCACGACTTTCATCTGGCCAGGGAGCAGCCCCGATCGCTCCCAGGTCGAAATCATGATCGGGAGCCTAAGGCCTGATTAGACAAATGCTGGAAATGCGAGACATGGAAACCATCAACCGACGAAACCGCGTGCTTGGGGAAAGAGCGAGACACTCGACGGAGGTCCTCCACAGAAAGGTCGGGGAGGGGGTCCAAAACTTCACACGCAGAACCAGCCTGGGGGGCCTCAGGCTGGGGTTCAGCAAGCCAGATCCGCGCGAATTTCTCGAGCTCGGAAGACAGGAGGGCCTCAGGGTCCAGGACAACTTCACCTTTGGCACTCAAGGTGGTCGTCGGCGTCCAACCCGAGGCCCCCCCTAAACTCCGTTGGCATGACGGGCTCCGTTCTCGATGTTGTGACGGATCCAATCCAACCACTGCTTATGATCTTCTTGCCTGGCAGCACACTCAGCAACAGCCTGGGCCTGGGCGACCATATCGACGGTCCTCATAGGTTCCCCTTTGACGTCACAACAAACGGACGGGCTAGAGTTAACAATCTCTTGCACGGCCTGCAAGTGGGTGAAGGACTCTCCATCCCACTGTCCAAGCCGAGTGGGGGGGTGCAGCAGCTCCTCCGTCGTGCCCCGCAGGCGCGGTTGCCAACGCACCTCAGGACAAGCGGGGGCCGCACCGCCCAGGAAGCTCGTGCTCCCAGTGCTGCTGAGACCTTTTTTTTTTTTTTTTTTTTTTTTTTTTTTTTTTTTTTTTTTTTTTTTTTTTTTTTTTTTTTTTAAAAAAAAAAAAAAAAAAAAAAAAAAAAAAAAAAAACAAAAATGCTACGAGCAAAACGCGGGGGAGGGAGTGAGGGGCGTTGATTGCCGCTCCGAGGTTTGACAGCCCAGACCTAGCAGGTGAAGAAGCCAGAGTCGGAACCTGCTGCAAAGCCATCGGGGTCGCGCGGCTCCTTCGACGTGCTGGAAGTGCCAGCCATAGAAAATTGACGCGTCAACGACACTGACCCAGTGCAGCTGCGGCTGGCGCGGCCCTGCTACCTCGAAAACCTGGAACGCAGACTCGAGCTCTTGCTCCGCGGCCGTACCCCATTCCCGGTACAGCACATGGATGTTGAATTGAGTCTGGTCCAATCTTCCAGTCTCGGCCACGGCGAGATCTCGAGAAGCCAACTTGGAGAGAAAACTCCACTGCCAAGGGGGTTCGGGGACGGGGCCCTGGGGGCGGAGGGTGGGGAGGGGTGGGGGGTTTCTGAAAGTGAGGGCACGGAGGGAGGCGAGTTGCGGGTGAAGTTTCACGGCGACAGGATCATGGGTGGCCGAATCCGAATCGCTGATTATCTTCACGCTCTCTATCGCTTGCGCCACTCGCGCCTCAACTAGCATGGAATCGTGCATTTTGATTCCCCCAGGGGACCGACAGGTGCCCACCACACCTGCAGGGTAGCAAACCTCCGCCCCGAGCCTGGCAGGAACAAAAGAGGAGCACAAAATCGACGGCTCCATGTTGAAATCACCGCCTATGACAAATGGGACGTCCAAGCTTTTAGACCCAGGCGCAACACAAGCCAACATATCCCTATTGGTACCATTCAAACCAACGCAGTTCTGAAGGTAAACGCTAACCACATAGAAGCTGGCCTGGCCAGGGAGGTGAACCAGGACCCCCGCAGCCCGATGATTTCTCAAACAGGGACCGAAGTCGGGGAAGTGCAAACCAAGAAAAGCACGGGCCAGGATCCCAACGCCCGCGGACGGGCCTCCTCCAGGCCCCAGGCATCCAGGCTCAAAATGTGCTTCCCAACCATTTCGGACACACCAAGCCTCAGCCTTGCGGCGGTCCTCGGAGGTGATGAGCTTGTGCTCCTGACACAGCACGACGTGCACCGCCGTCAGGGCTAAAAACTGCTTGAGAGAGTTCCAAGTCGTGCAATTCGCGGCGACGAACTCCATACCCAGATGATCCCAGGAATATTCGACTTGCAACCGATGATGTCCAGATGTGACAGGTGCATCCAAAACTGGGCAAGAGGATGGGGGCATGGGGTAGGAGGGGTCCGTCACAGCGCTGTTGCCCCGACGACTTGGGCTTGGCAGGTGGCCCCGTGGGCGACTTGGGCAAAGGGGGCTCTCCTGCGCCACGCTGGACCGATTCACGTGCTGCGGCTCTGACATCGGCCGCCGACTTGGCTGGAGAGGGCGGCGGCTGGCTGGCCGCTGCCGGCATGCCGACGTCAGCTGCTGCTGCTGGGGCTCCACCACCAGCACTGGCTGACGCAGAGCTAGACTCAGCAGTGGCAGGCTCAGGTGTTCCAGCAGCCGCTGTGCCAGCAGCCTCTGCATCGTCCGTCTTGCGCTTCTTGCCAAGCAAGCGGTCCTGCAGGGCTTTGTGTGCCGCCTTGTGCTCCTCCGCTCGTTGCTTGATGTCGCCGAAGAGCTTCGTGCAGCACGCCCTGATGTGATCAGCCATCTGCTCCTTGCGGCGGGTAGACTCATCCGAATCCTGCTGAGATACTTCAACACCAACCTCTTCGAGCCCAAACAGCCCACCGTCATCAACTTGCAGGCCAGTGAGCCGTCCCTCAAGAATGTGATTGAGGTTGATGGACGGGCCAGCTGGCTGAGGATGTTCGGCAGGCTGCGCAACCGACAAATGCAACTCCGAGATGGCGTCCTTGTACTCAACATCGTACTTCTCGAGCTCGGCCAGAGTGGACTCCAGCTGGCCCCGCAGGTTGGACAGCTTCTGCTCCATGGCGTGCACAACTTTGAGATCCTTGTCCAGCTTCTTCTCCAGCCGAGTGATCTCCTTGTGCGCGTTATCAGCTCTCTCCTGCGGTGGCACAGACGAGGCCTTGAGCTTGTCCAGCTCCTTCTGCGCCTGCTGCAACATGACGGTGTTGCCAGTGCGCTCACACAATTGAACAAGCTGCTCGAGGTCCGACTTGCTGGGCTGCACTGGGGCAGGCGGCCCAGCTGGGGCGGCGGCGGCTTGTCCTGCAGCGACTCAGCGGTCCGACGAAGTGCTGCTGGGTCCCCGCGAGCAGTCCTCTTGTCGTCAGCTGGAGCTGACTCGACAGGCGCCTTCCACCACTTCTTGCAATGCTTGCAGTACTGAAAGTATGATTCGTTTCTTTTGCACCCACAGTGTCGGCACTGCCAGCGAGGGCCGCGGCTGAAGTCACCGCCAGCACCGCCACGATCACCGCCCATTGCAAGTGCGCCGTAGTGAGTAACCGAGCCAGAAAAAGGCCCGCTGTCACCCAGCCGTTCTGAAGTGTCGGTGACAGCAAGCTCAAAAATTTGAGCCGGAACGGCTG